GCTCCCCTCCCAGCCTGATCTCCCCAAAGTGACCTCCCCTGCTGGCCTGGTCACCCCTAACTGTTCTCCCCTGCTGACCTGATCTTCCACAACTGCCTGCCCCTGCCGGCCGTCTTGTGGCAGCCATCTTGTGATTATGTTGCACATGATGCCATCTAGGCTTTTATTATATAGGATCTCCTATATAATAAAAGAGGGTCTCCTCTTTTATTCCTGACATTGTTAATTTTTGCCTTTTCTCTTTATCAATCATGCTAGAGTTTATAAATTTTATTGACCTTTTTAAAGAACCACCTTTTAGTTTAATGGATTTTTTCCACTGTTTTTCTGTTTTCAGTTTCATTGCTTTGTGTTCATATCTATATGATTTCTTTACTTCTGCTTGCATTGAATTTGTTGTACTTACCTCTGTTACTGGTTTCTCAAGCTTGAAGCTTAAATTGATTTGAGACCTTTCTTATTTCCTAGCATAAGCATTTAATACGTTAAAGGTCCCTCTAAGAACTGCTTTATTTGCATCCCACAGTCTTTTTTTTTTTTTAAGTTTTTATTGATTTTAGAAAGAGAAGAAAGGGAGAGAGAAAGAGAGATGGAAACATCAATGAGAGAGAAACATCTGTCTGCTGCCTCCTGCACTCTTCCTACTGAGGATCAAATCTGCAACCCAAGTGTGTGCCCTAACCAAGAATGAACCTGTGACCTCTTTCTTGGTGCACCGGTCAATGCTCAACCACTGAGCCACACCACCACCCGGGTGCATCCCACAGTCTCAATATGTTGTATTTTTATTTTTGTTTAGTTTAAAACATCTTCTAATTATCTATGTCTGTTCCTTTGTTTTCTCAATCCCCTATTTCCACTTACCTGCCTGCTTTGGATTGTTCAACTTTTTTGGTATTTTACCCAAGTCTCAGATTGACATTTCCAACCATCCAGTGGTGCTGTTCTTCAGATTCCAGACACAGCCAAAAATAGCAAGAGCATTCAGGAATCTCCTGCTTTAAGAAAAGCCATCATGCCAACATTTTAAAGTACCTGTTCCAGTAGAAACAGGAGTGATTATTTACATCATCAAAAGGTTTATTTAAAGATTCTGTAGTGGAGTATTCCGTCTCCCTGTTCTGATAAAGTCACCTTAGTTTTCTTTTGGAGCATCACCTCTGCCCCATTCATAGTTCATGTGACTTGGGTTATATAATCTTCCACTTGTTTTATTTTTGAGATGAAGGTTGTTGGTTTTTTGTCACTTACAATGGAAGGTTCTTGATGACTAATAAAAATTCCTATAAACAGGAAACTCCAGAGCGCTTTTAAGTTGTTTGTGTGGCCCTAGCTGGTTTGGCTCAGTAGATAGAGCCTCGGCCTATGGACTGAAAGGTCCCAGGTTTGATTCTGGTCGAGGGCATATGCCCGACCATCCCCAGTAGGGGGCATGCAGGAGGCAGCCAATTAATGGTTCTCTCTCATCATTGATGTTTTTATCCCCTCTCTCCCTCTCCCTTCCTCTCTGAAATTATATATATATATATATATATTTAAGTTGCATGTGTGTGTGTTTACTCCCTTCTTTGTTATATTCTATGACTCTGGTCTCTGAATTCTAAAAGGACAAGGACTGTGACTGTCTTGTTCACTGTGCAATATTCTATGACCAACATATATATGTGGAATGAATAAAGGGTCACTGGTCCTCAACTTGCAATAGTTTGTGTCAGGATGCAAATGGGTTGGTTGACTTGAGTGTAATGAGACTGGAACATGTTTCATGACCATGAGTGGGCTGATCCTCAGGTAATTCCCAATGTGGCTTCCTCTCTTGGGCCCTGGCCATCATGGGATACTCATTGACTATGTCCCTGGAGATCACAAAACATGTATCCCATCTTGGAAAATCCCTGACAATGTTCTTTCTAGTTTTTCAAGAAGAGTTTATGATCCTTACTTCAAAATTGTACTAGCTTGTGACTTTGCCCATCAAAGTCATACTTTCCTGTAGGACCAACCAGGTAATTTGTGGAACCCAGTGCAAATTGAAAATGTGGGGCCCTTGTTCATAAAGCATAGAAAAAGTATCATTGAAGTTACTAAAATACAAGGCTGTTTCCTCTCACGGTTTCATTCTTAACCTGTCATGATGTTTTTTATCTGCTATTTAAGTAAAGGACAAATTAAAATAAAATTTTAAGTTATTAGTATGAATTTTACTATTTATCTTTACATTGTGCAACACCAGTTTTAAGTGCAAGTGCAAGACCATTTAACTTGTGGGAGGAATCACCAAAACTATGCAATTTGTATTTCATAACTTGTATATATCCATATATATTTTGTTCTTACCAGAACAGAGGAAATGCTGCAGAAACAGACGCAAATGTTTTAATTTTACTTCTTTAAACATTCACAAATGACTGACAGACCCTACTTTGGGCTTAGTGATGATGTTATTTTCAGCATACATAGTCGGCTAATATAGGATATAAGTTTTCTTGATCATTCATGTTTCTTATAAAACCATGTTCTTCTTTCTGCATTGGAAGCGAGTTCTGGTCTGAACAGAAAGTGTGGCCTCCCAGGGCTGTAAGGGCTAAAGTTTGCTTTGCATGTTGTAGACATACATGTTTTCAGTCTTGCCAAAACTTCATGCATCGCGGGTCTACCAGAGTCCTGTGCTCATGGGCCCTGGTAAACACTACCTGCAAATGGGTAGCAAAGAACAGCAGGCCCACACATTGTACATATCCCTTGTGCACATATCTCGATTGCCCCGTCAGACTTCACTTACACAGCACAAGTTAAAGGATAAAATTATTAAGAATGTCAAGATAACAACAGCAGAGCATTCAACCAAGCACTCGACCCTCCTGGGCACAATTTGTGCAAGTTATATACCCATGGAACTGGCCCAGCATGTCTGTGTAGAAACCACCAATACAGCGATTCTGCATTTTATATTTGTTTTACAGTTCTACCCACACTTGACTTCCTGGGAAATCTACAAAATGCAGTGTGACATTTTGAGATCATTAACCACTTGACAGGGGAGGAGAGAGAAATTTAAAGCAAATGTGTCAGGAGTCACACCTAATCAAAGATCAATCTAAAGCAAAGATAAAAGCACCTTGGAAATTGCAACATGAGTCCATGGCAAGGTAGGGTTTGATCCCAAATATTTTGGGAACAGGTCAGTTATGTCAAGGAACACATAGCTGTTCTCCAAAACGTACTGAAATAAAAATATTCACGTTTTTTCCCACCTGCCACATCCCCTTTCCACTGCCTCCTTTTAAAGAGACGAAGCTGATGTCCCATCTGTAAGCTATAACGTTCAAACCTAAACAGCTTGGTGGTATAAAATGATTGTTGTCCATGTGAAAAAAAAGCCTCATTGTTCTTTCAACAAGAAATAAATTTTATGATAAATTGAAGGTAATATTGCCCTTTATACATTATAAAAATTTATTTCTTGTTTCATTTTTATTATTTTTGAAATCTTGAAAAATGTATTACACATTTATCTTCTTCTTAAACAGAACGTACAGATTTTTATTTGACCTTTCCTTCGGGACTAAGGATGATCATGTGAAACATCAATTATTGTATTTTTTATTGGGTTCAACTAAGTTATTCAGGAGCATATCCTTACAGACAAGGCATTATGCCAAGATTAATGTCTGTCTGAATCAGTGTGGGCTGCTCTCACAAATATATCATAATCTGGGTGACGTATAAACAACAAGCATTTATTTCTCACGGTTCTGAAGGCAGGAAGCCTGAGAACAGGGTGCCAGCGTGGTTCAGTTCTCAGTGAGGACCCTCTTCCTGGCTTGCAGGCTGCCAACTTCTTTGTGTATCTTCTCCTGTGCAAAGGGTTAGTGAGCTCTCTGGCCTCTTCTGATGAATGTACTGATCCCATTCTTGAGGGCTCTACCTCATGAGCTAATCTCCTCCCAAAGATCCCCACCTCCAAGTATCATCACACTGGGAGAAGGGTTTTAACATAAATTTGGGGTGGGGGGTGGACACATTCTGTTCATTGCAATGGCCCTTGCCATTTGGTGTTTATGATCCTGTTGGAGAGGTAAGGCAGGTGTATAAGTTCAAAGTTCTTGGCAAAACAGTTCTATTACATAAATGAAAACAAGTACTATCAGAACACAGAAGAGAAGGGAGTGAGAGAACATTATGAGAATTCAAATGGGTCTTGAAGGATGATTTGGGGTGGGCATGCTAAGGTGTGTGCCATGCTCAGAAATTCACAGTGCTGAAATGAAATGATAGGTGTGAAATAGAGCAGGGTGTTTTAAAATATTGGAACCACAGGTCATATGTTTGGCAATAGATGAAACTTACATCTATCCACGGTGGGAGCCATTAGAAGGTTTTGTAATAGGAGGATGACAGCAGCATTACACTTTAATGCATCAACGCATTTTGAAATGTGTAGGATTGTTTGTACCTATAAAAACTGTGGTGCTATTATAGTACTTGTTTTTTGACTGGTTATTATAAGTTTTCTGTTACCTTTTGGTTTGCCAGCTATTCTTGATTGTATCAAAATATCTATCTGGATATAGACACACTTAGGTCTAACATTCTATTAAAATTCTGCCTGTAGTCTACTAAAAGCTAGGAAACTAAACAGCCAACATTATTATAATTGCACTTATGCATAAACACGCTTTGAAAAATAGACTGAAATTTTCTATTTCTCTAGATTATTTACTGTTTTACTTAGTAAACAGCAAGGATTAGCCTAAGAGTAAAGTACATGGGTATAGACTTCAGTAAGGATTAAGGTTTCTGAAGGAAACTTCTGGTTTAAAATTGTGGAATTCACCAGGACTATCTTTTCTTCCTACCCAAATCTCCTTACAATGACTGCCAGGGGATTTTAAAATACAAATTAATCAACAAGGTCAAAGAGAATAAGAGACAATTTGCCATAAATGCTTTCAACAAATTTTTGGGAGGTGAGAAATGGATGAAGGAATGGTAATTACCTTGGCAGAACGAAGAAAGGAGAAAGCCAATTGCTTGCAGACAAGTGGGAACAGAGCTGCTTCACCCTGAAGAACCTCTGGGTTGCTCAGTGTTTATAAGAAATGAATATTTGAAAAGGAAGGTGAGAACAAAGCTCACAGCAAAAAAGGGCGTTTGCTGGAAGTTGGCCCACAGTGTGGTTGAACCCATCACGTCTCCACTCACGTGTGCGTTCATGCAGCAGCCCTTTCCCTACTTCCTGGCAGCAAGTTGGAGGTTTATTCTTCGGAGTAATGAGGCGTGGGAAGCAGGCCCAGAGAAATGCAGAGATGAAGCAGAGTGAAATGTCTACGTGTCATACTGTGGACTCCCCAAGCCCTTTCCTCACCCTGCTTCCAGAACTTCTCTCTCTCTCTCTCTCTCTCTCTCTCTCTCTCTCTCTCTCTCTCACACACACACACACACACACACACACACACACACACACACACATATACACACATACACACACACTGGCTAGAGATTCAGATTCTCCTCTAAAACAGTCCAGAAAACATACCAATGGATAATGACATTTGGGAGTTCTTCAATGAATCGGCGATTCACTTCCCCATCACTCTATGGAGAGGTTTAGAGAAATGCTCCATCCTTGGTCATAGTGTAGCCTTCTCACCCTTGACTATAGACTGAGGTTTTCCTTCTTACATCAAATACCTGCTGTCTTTCCCGGCACCCAACTCTCTGACACCAACTAGGTGCCCAACTGTTCAGGTCCCACCTTTAAAGGGCTCAGTCCCATTATGAAAGAATCATTTAAATCCTGTGAGTATTGATAAAATGTGACTTAACATGCTTCTTTATCTACCCAGACCTTGTTTAAGATAAGGAAGGATGACAACTTCACTGGAAATGACTCATTGAAATCTACATTCAATATGTAGATTTTAGTTGAAAAATATGTATTTGATAAGTAGTGGTAGTTGTTTCTAAGAAGGGCATTGCTGCTATATTAAGAAATAAAATCTATTGATCTAGTTATCTAGTCTCAAAACCTTTGTGTGTGTATGTCCGTGTTTGATATTTTTTAAGTAATTCAAAGCAAGCCATTGTTCTATGTCTATTTAACAACCTGTGAAACAATTCCTTAACTACAGTTGTGAAAGGGACACTGTGGCAATATTAAAACATGTTAGAGTAAGAATTGCCCAGAAATACAAAAAAAATTAAAAAATAAAAATAAAGGACTTAGTCCCACAAGACTGCCTCACTTCAGATGCCAATCATAAATACTGGAGACCACCAGTATTTCTGACTAACCAGCTGCATATCAGGGGTTCCCATGACCCTTTTCTCATGTTTGATCATTTGCTGCAACAACTCAATTAAAATATCCCAAGGAAAGTGCTTTACTTAGTATTACCAGTTTACTAGAGAGGATACAACTCAGAGACAGTCAAATGGAAGAGAGGCGTGTGCCAGCTTCCACCCCTGGCACTTCAATGTGTCCACCTTCCCAGAAGCTCTCTGAACTCTATGGTGTAGGGGTGCTTAAGGGAGTTTCGTTGCATAGACTGATTAAATCATTGGCCTTTGGTAACTGAACTCAATCTCCAGATTCCTCTCCCTTCCCCAGAGATCAGGGGGTGGAGCTTGGAGTCCCAACCCTCTAATCATGGCTTGGTTTTTCTGGAGACCAGACACTATCCTGAAGCTATCCAGGAGCCCCTCAGCCAAAAGTCATCGCATTAGCATACCAAAAACACTCTTCTTACTCTGATCCCAAGGGTTTTAAGAGTTCTGTGAGGAGGAAACTGGGACAGAGACCAAATATTTTTTATCATACCACATAAACACATCACCAGATAACTGTGAAACCTCTCCAACATGAAAGAATAAGATAAACAAATAGAAAAGAAAAACAGAAACGAATAAAAGTAGTGAAAATAGGCCTGGCTGGGTAGCTTGGTTGGTTGGAGTGTCATCCTGATAGGCCAAGCTTGCATTTGATCCCCCAATCAGGGCACATACAGGAATCAACCAATGAATGCATAAAAGTGAATCAACAGATCAATATTTCTCTCTCTCTCTCTCTCTCTCTCTCTCTCTCAAATCAAGCCATCAATAAAAAAAATTTTTTAGCCCTAGCTGGTTTGGCTCAGTGGATAGAGTGCCAACCTGCAGACTGAAGGGTCCCAGGTTCGATTCCAGTCAAGGGCACATGCCCAGGTTGCGGGCTCAATCCCCAGTAGGGGGCATGCAGGAGGCAACCAATCAATGATTCTCTCTCATGATGCTTCTCTCTCTCTCTCCCTCTCCCTTCCTTTCTGAAATCAATAAAAATGTATTTAAAAACAAGAAAGAAAAAAAAAAGGGCAATAGGATACAAATTGCTTTAAAAAATTTTTAGAAATATTGAAAATATGATTAGTATTCTCAAATAAGTTTCAACAATAACAGGTCAAAATAAGAATAGGTTGCTATGAAAAAATAAAGAGAAAAAATGAGCTCTTGTAAATAAAAATATATGATGGTGGAAATTTTTTAATTTAATAGAAAATTGACAATGTCAAGTAAAATTCCCCAAAGGAAGAGGCAATGAACATAGAGAAACAAAGGGAAAAAAGGAAAACAAGTTAGAGAACTAAGCCAGTATCCAGGAACAAGAGTTGCAGGGAGAACAGAGAAAAAGGAGAAAAGTTATCAAAGAGACCGTGCTAGACAGTTTCCCAGAACAGAAAGACGGGAGTTTCCACACTGGAAGTTCTCTGACAGCTCCAGACAACAAATGGAAATTTACACCAAGGGGCATAGTTGAAAAATTTCTGAATACTGAGGTTAAAGAGAAGATCCTAAAGGCTTCCAAAAATTAACAACAAATTACATAGAAAAGAATGGGAACCACAGTCATCAGGCAAGAAGATTCCAACAATAAGATTTCCATGGATTTGTGTTATGCTTTTGCAATCCCAACAGAGAATGAATTTCCACCAGGCCTGGCTTCATTGGTGTGCTACAGAGAAGTCACACAGGGCCCTAATCTCAGAAGGGGGCCCTGCACTTGGGCTTAATACTGCAGTCACCTTTTTAAAAAGCCTAATAATTTTATCTTTGAACTCCTATTTTGTAAGTGAAGTCCAATAGGAAAGGGGTGCATGAGCAGTGCTGGCTCCTGCCGCCTCCTCACCACCCACCGCCTGGCAGGTGTCCTGGCTACCTACCTGCTCCCCAACCCCCACTGAGAGGCTCCTGCTTCCCTCTGCCCCTACTCCCACCCCCCATGGGCCTGGTACAGGTGCAAGGAGGGTTGGGGTTGGGCATGCACACCCCTCCATACTTGGTGGCCAACCTGGACTCTAGGTGTCAATGGAGGTCTACACTCACCCCGCAAGTATCCCCATGACTGAGGGAATGTGACCTAAAAAGCAAATTTCAAAAAACACCATGAGAGGTTGAGAGAGGTCACAGAGGAAGAAGAAAGAAAAAAAACCTTTCCCCTGCTTTTTGGGGAAAATAGCCCCACATTTTCACTTTGCACTGGGTCTCATGAATTATGTTCCATCCCTGGTTTCAATTTAGAGACAGCTTGAGAAGGAAAACATTTTTTTTTACCTCGAAAACCCAACTGTGAATATTATCAAAGATTAAAAAGAGCAGGTACTCCTAACATTAGTTGATTGCTTTAAGGATGTCAAGATGGTCCCACTGTGGACCATCAATCCCACAGTTGGAAGTTCCTGGTTTCAGTGCATCTTTTCTGAGCCTCACCCTGACTAATGGTTTAGGGCACTGACTCCGGCATTAGGTTCATACCCAAACAGCCACAATTTCTGACCCAAAAAGACAGTTTCAGGCAGAACTAGATGCTCCTCGGGGAACCCACAAGTGGAGTTGGGGGCCTAGTGGAGTTTTTGCCACGTGAATAGAAGGACCTGTTTGTGGAGAGTTTCTTGGGGTCTTATAAGTTCAAGTGAAGGCGAAGCGATCTCAAGGAGGTTGTGAGACTTTGAAAACGACAACCAAGAATGAGAAGGATTTCCTTCTCTGGGAGTTTTAAGAGGAAAAGAGATTCCTGCTCATCTGGACAGGCAAGGTGTGGGCCAGCCGCAAAGGGCAGGGGATGGAGACTCAGAAAGCCTCTCTAGCCACCTCCCCACAGCTCCTGAGTCTCTGATTTTTATTTTCGTAGACACCAAGGTCATTGCCAGCTGTGAGCATAGCCAAGTCTAGACCTACTTGCTTCACACAGATCCACATTCTCAAAGTGCTTAATTCTCTCCCCCATCTTTTCCCTGTCTGCCACCCCTAGAACCGCAGACCTCACTGGATTGGGTGACCTGACAACTGCCCTTTACATAGGGATTTGTATCGTAAATTGCCACTAAGAGGCCCCTGATACACGTCTTCCTCACAAATTTATGCTGTCGTGGTTTTCAGACAGAAACGGGCATGTACACATGTGGCAGGTTTGAGGCTCATCAGACAGGTTCTATTAATTTGGTCGCCAGGTGGTAACCATATTATTTCATGTTTCTCAGTAACTTTTGCGCAGCACAATTACCTTTGACAGTTCTTGAGTGGGACAGCAATTTCCAGCAAATGTTTTCAGTAACCAGAGGCCAGCTGAAAGGAAACGTGAGTGCTTCGGGTAAGCTTTGAGTGCGGCTCTGACAGCTCTTCAGCACCTCCGTGGTGTTATAAATAGGAATTCTGTGGAAATCCAGGCCCATGGAACTCAACAGAAGGGAGCTGAGCAAGGCCAGTGCTTTCCACTGTATCAAAGAAAGAATTTGCCCTTGCACAGGATGAATTCTCCATGCTGAACTTCTTCCAAACTCCAGAACACAGAAGCTTCTTTTCCTGGGGTTTCATGCTTTGTCCTCCTTCATGCTAATTCCACACTGCGAAGGGGGTGACTTTCACTTCTTAAACTTGCCTGACTTTATATGTGCCTTCAGCGTTCCTCACAGTTATCTAAGGAAGAGGTACATCAATTCAACCTCCATTTATTAGCTTCCAGTTTGAAGAAAAAGATACTAAGTTATCACAGACGGGCTGTTCAAAATCTGATCTTAAAGAATGGGAATATGAAAGTGAATTGCTTTTCCACACTCCCCCACCAGCATCTCCCTCTCTCTCTCTCTCTCTCACACACACACACACACACACACACACACACACACACACACAGCCGCTTTCTAAGAAAATATAAAACAAAGTGCCTGCAGTCTCTAGTCACCCACCACAGGAAAAGAAAGGAACAATGTGTTCCCCCAAATCATCAGGAGTTAAAAGGACTGA